GTGGATTAGTACTCACATTTCGTTCTACAGATTCATGTTTTGGAGTAGGCTCTACACAAACACCAGATGAACATGAACACATCGAGTGGCAGTAGGTGCAACAGAGATGACCCGGCTCCAAGCTTGTGGTGTGCTCTTCAAAGTGACTAAAGAGGGCTTTTCTAAAACAGCCCCGTTTCCCTGCATGAATCAATGCTTTCACTGTTTTATCAACCCTTGGTGATGCTTGTATATCATACAAAACTGCATGTGATGGTAAAGAGTTTCTCCCAGCCCTCCCAACCTGTTGCACTATGTCTTCCACATCCTCTGGTGCCCCGTACATGACAACATGTGAGATATTAGGAAAATTGAGGCCCATCCCCAGCGCAGTTGTAGCAACAACAACCCTGCAGCTACTCTCACCCGTAAAGGATGCCAGCACTCTTTGTTTGTACTGTGGCAGTGTCTTGCTGTGGAACATTCCGATCAGCATGTTTTCAGCCTTATGCTCTGGATCTCTGTTCACCCATGCATCTTCTCCAAGTTTAGCTTTGAGATGGCAGAACACACTTCCAACTGCCTTGAGTGATCTGCAGTAAATAATGATAGGCGACATCAACAGTCTCTTCTCTCTGGCCTCTGTCACCACCCAATCCATGCAGTCCAGGTCATGACTAGGAACATGCTTCAGCCCAAGCCTGATGTTGCTTCTGTTTGGGCTAACCGTCACTTGAGTTGCCTTCTCCATGTTCAGCAGCTTGGTCACCCGGCCTCTGTTGACAATATCAGCAGATGCTGTCAAAGCCATGACAGGTGTGCCTGAAAGACAACACATGCATAATATGAAAAGGGGGGACAACGACAACCTAGGCAGCCACACTGCTTGGCCCCTCATAACAATATTTTTACAGATTTACACTGCAAAACGGATCTGAAAATAATTAAAATGTTCTTAAAGTTAGATTATTTATCCTTGACTTGAGCAGGTAAATAAGATTATCTGCCAATCGAATGAGGATTTTGTACCCTTAAAATAAGATAATTAGACATCCTGCACTTGAAATAAGATGATTGAGATGAATTGTTCCTATTTTAAGTGCCAAAGTTTTATTCCATTGGCAAATCATCTTATTTACCTGATTAAATCAAGGACAAATACACTAATTTTAATAAATTTTTAAATTATTTCTAGTTCTCTTTTTGCAGTGTAGGCCTACAAAATTAACTCACCTTCTTTAACAATTGATCTGAGTTCTCCCAGCCGGGCGAAGCTCTCTCTGAAGGCTGGACTCCCTTTGCCAGCTTCGCCCCGACAGACAGATTGATAGGTATAAACTTTATTTAAGACTCCAAGTAGCTTAGAGACATAGATCCATCACACATATAATAGGTTGTTCAGTGACAACAGTAGGATTTTTTTAACTTACCATTTATACGTGACGTGAACCTCGTCGACTACGATCCCCACTAAGTTCTTCTGGTACACCTCTGAAGCAAGCATGCTCCTCCATTTCTCATTGAGCCACGACTCGGGACTTCCAAATACCAGTTGGCAACGTCCGTCGAGGTTGTCGTTTTCGTTTATTCCTCCCAGCTGCATACCTGTTACACCTAATTTTCCAGCCTCTCTGATNTTGTATACTGTAGCCTTGATGTTCTACAAGGCCTACGGGCATACACAGTATGCGTACAGTACACTACTTCTAACCTTGCAGGTCAATCACACTCTTTCCCCTCGCTTAGCACACAGTCTGGTGTGGAATAGGTTTTGGAATGGGAAGGGAGGAATGGGAAGGAACATTTCACTAGATCTACATCTAGAACACCTTAACAATTTCCTTAAGTCCTTTTTAAAACGCAGTGGTCCAAACCTTAATGAGCAAACAGCAGACAGAGTCAGCAAGTCAATTGGGGTCCTGAAAACTTTGATGGAGACCACAGACAGAGAACTACAGGTCTTAAAGTCCTCTGGTGTACATCATGCTGCTAGTCAGACCGAGGACATTTTAGCTCTGGTGGAGGTTTTTAGAGAGGCTGAGCTGTTCCAGGATCACCCAGGCAGAGAGTTCTCAGCATTCCCCCAATTTAGCAGAGATCTTTTGGCCAATCTCAAAAGCACTAACCTGAGGGGATGGGTGAAGTCCAAATTAAAGGAGTGGCAAGATCACCCTGTTTAAAAAAAGGTTTTGAATGACACCAAATAATTGTAAATATTGTAAAAAGTTTTTGTTTCTGTATATATTTCATTTTGTAATACGTTTATTTATAATTTTAAAATTTGTAATATGGAAATATTTAAAGAGTAAATTCTGTCAACATTATGTCTAGCATAATTATTTCAAACATGGCATTTTAAGTTGAAAAAATAAAGCAAGTTTTCAGCAAAATATATCTTTTATTTGCATTTTTTACTGTTACTTGTATACAAAATTATTTACATTGTTTGCAGTGACAGCCATTCAAGGACATTAGTACAATAGCATCTACTAGCCTGCTGCTGAGGGGTGCTAGTTTGACTCTGAACCGCTACTGTGTTGTGTTTCAATTTCAAAGTCCTCATCTTGCTCATCAAAATAACCTGTGAAATCAATGTCAGGCTCTGTGAAGCTCTCTTCAGGTAAAGTAGGCTCTATGTATTCAAAATCCCAGAAAACCTCACTGATCACTAGGAGAATTTCACTTGCATGCCGTACTGTAAATACTGGAAGGTGGTTTGTAATATAAGCCAAGTCAAAGATATAGGGACTGTGCTCGACTGCTGCTTCGATAAGTTCAGTGCCAAGCCCAGTACAGAGAGTCTTGTTCGTGATGAGTCGCAGGTCTGGGACTAAAGTGCGCCTGTACCGCTGTAAGCAGGCCCAGATCACAGTCTTGTCTTCCTCAGTCACCTCTCTAGATCTAAGTGGAGTAGTACTCACATTTCGTTCTACATATTCATGTTTTGGAGTAGGCTCTACACAAACACCTGATGAACATGAACACATCGAGTGGCAGTAGGTGCAACAGAGATGACCCGGCTCCAAGCTTGTGGTGTGCTCTTCAAAGTGACTAAAGAGGGCTTTTCTAAAACAGCCCCGTTTCCCTGCATGAATCAATGCTTTCACTGTTTTATCAACCCTTGGTGATGCTTGTATATCATACAAAACTGCATGTGAGGGTAAAGAG